GTGACCTTCAGTAGCAGCTCCTCGTCGGACAGCTGCAATGCGGGATTCCTGGCAGCAACACCTTTCGGCGCAGACTGAACGTTCACATAGAATAGAATATATATATTATGTTATGAAATGACTGATAAGACGGACACACGGACACAGCTCAACAAAAAGCTACAACTAAAGCTACTTTCGTCAGAGTGATACTTACGCCCTTTAGCATGTTCTGATCAATGGAAACGCCCTCGCCGCGCAGTAGATCTTTCAGGGTCTCAAGCTCATCTTGTAGGCTATCCAGGTGACCGGAGACTTCTTCCCTATAGAACGATATTATCGTTAGGTACCGATTCATTATTGGTTTAGGCTTAACTACTTACACTGCAGGTATTCGAGAATCGTTACCATTATCGCCTGTGTACTTGGTAACTGCCATTGCTTGATGCGGTTGCAACTGCTGCTGGTCTTGTTCATTATTATTGTCCTTGGCAGCTGCGGCCGCTTTTGAAGTAGAGGCCAAATTGGCATCAGTTACCAAAGGATTATCAGGGCTACTGTTGGTCAGGTCAAACGTGATCGGCATATCGGCAAACTTTCCACTATTTACAGTATTGCGCCCAAAYTGTTGTTGTTGATCCAGTTTGGCAGATTGCTCATCCATGCCAGCGGAGGACATCAAGGAGTCATCCTATAAAACCATAATTAATTTGGTCTGTCAATCATTTTTCTTTTTCGTTGCTTTTCAACTTACCTCAAATATATTCGTTGGCATATCGTTGCTAATAAAGTTCACATTGTAGAGATCCGCGTCGTTCGAATCAGGTTCTAGCAACGAAGGCATACTCGCAGCCACACCCCTTACCTCCGGCTCTGTCTTGACCAGCACCSKTTGGGGCATATTCAACTGTGACTCATTTTGCTCATTGCGTGTGCGAGAGGACTTTGGAGACATATCCAAATCAACCTGGCCAAGTATATCTAAATTCCGGCGCAGTTTGTTCTTCTCCTTAAGCTGCTGACGCTTACGCGCCTCTTGCTCCCGCACCATGGGCGTGGTGAGCACATTTAACTGCTCGTCGCTATTGTATAGACTATTGGGACTGGGCTGAAATTGTTGCTCCTGCACATGAGTTTCGGGTGCCTCTGTGACGGTGTAGAGCACTTGTTGGCCACCTGGCGAGCTGGCGACGTTGGTCGTACCGTCGCCGCTATTCAATAGCTGAGCGGTAATAAAATCTTCGGCGCTCTGATTCGAGTAGTCGTAATTTTGAGAGCTGGTAATGCTCGCATTGGAACGAGGCCGCTCCATAGCTTGCGGTGAGACGCTCTCTCCATCATACTGCTTGGAATAGGGACTGTTTGGGTTCATGACCTCTCCAAGCAGCTCCTCGCCCAACTCGTGGATGACGGGGCCGCCTTCGCTCTCCGACTCGCTCGCATTACGCTTGCGAGCATTCTCCGGYGTATCGTTAATCATCAGCTGCATRTGACGCTTCACACCGGACATGTTACGSGATGGYTGCACTATCGAAATCAGAAACTGTATCAGCTTATTGACAATCTGCTGCTGCTTGGCATGCTTTTGACGTAGCGAAGCGATTTCGCGCCAGAGAGCTTCGTTCTCCTGCTTCATCACCGAGAAACGCGAGTCCAAGTTATCCTGACGGCCTCGCATAGCCTTCACATCACTTAGCACTTTCGATACAGTCTCCTGCTTCAGCAAGCTCTTCTCATCCACGGTTTTGGTGTTGGATATCTTGCGCTTGATGTGGTCCAAGAGATAGGGATAATTGCGCTTGAAGCATGGATGTGAAAACTCAATCTCATCCCGATCGAAACGCAGCCCACCATTCTCAATCGAAGTGATCTTATGAAAGCCATCTGTAATATATAATAAA